TGATTATATGTAGTCAAGTGAGAGTAGTAGTGAGAGAGTGAGAGTAATAATAATGAAAATTTTCATCAAACTCTCTGTTTATATGCCCGACATTTAAATATTGAAAGGGTATTAAGATTAATGAACTGTCTACTACTATGAGTGTTTCCTGAGATATCACACTTACGATCATATCATGGATATAGGAACAGTTATCTGTAGCTCTAGTGGCTTGCTATATTGTAAGGTCTTTACCGAAACTTTTAAGGATTATATTGGGGTAGTTCCATTTATTTATGGAAGTATACAAAAATGTATTTGTATATCAAATTTTCCATTCCCATAACAGATATGGATAGAAGCATGCAGAAATATATATAAAATTAGCTAGATATCCAGATATAGTATCTGGCTTGGTAAATCTTATGTACATTTTCCTATAGAAGCTCATCAGCGCCAGAGAGAATGAATTTGGGCTGAATTGTTTGTTGCCCGTGTATAATCTATGTAGCCTGAGCTGAAATTGATAAGCGCTATATATGGATTTAATATTATGTATGACTAAGTGTGTCAATATCTGACGAGGGAAGGGATAATTATTCGGTGTATAAAAGCTTGGCTTATATGACAGAATGAGTAAGTAGTCTATAAATATATAAACCAATACACTTAGATAAGGAGTGGTGTGAAATATTATATAATTTTACATTTCGAGTCTCTTCAATCGATAATCATCAATGCTTAATCAGCCGTCTGAACATCTCTCTTAAACATTTTCCTAATTTGTTTAAGTTCACTTTGTTTTCACTTTCTGAACAGAGTGCACAACTATAACTATCAACTGTTCGGCTTTTCATTTCTATTCTAATCAGATAATTGCGCAGCAATTGCAAAAAATTGCCGTTTGGTTAGAATATATTGTATTCTATGCTGATTATGCTTACGCCAATGGCTGCTATCAGCAGCAGCAGCAGCAGTGACAGAGCCTGAGCCATCGATTTGGTTTGAGGAAACACTTTAACTTTTGCACCACTCGACGGTGCGTTCGCAACTGAGCCACTGAGGCGACAGCGGCCCGATTATAAGCGCCATAGAGCGCCATAGAGATTCGAGATGTGTGGAAGAAGCTGCTGGGATCTATCAATAGTACACGCCGCAGCTGATAAGCGCAATCGCAATGCGCGCTTAAGGCCACCGTCTCTAGTATTAAATGAATGGACTATATAGTAGCCATTGTATTGTTTTCTTTAAATGCCGTGATGCGTTTATTATGAGCTCAATCAAGATGCAATATAGTCTATTACTGGAAGTACATGTAACTTATATATATGTATGTATTCGTCAGTGTCAGCGAGGCAAGGTCGTTGCGTTAACGTCGTCAGCTAGATGTGGGTTCAATTTAGGCCTGTCGAGTGACCACGCGATTCTCGTGGCGAATGCTGACGTCCACGATGCTCATGTTGGGCGTCAGGAAGTTGACCAGGCGATCGGCGCCAGTGCGCGGCAGGCGATCGAAGGGATAGCCCATGGACTGGCGATCGGGATAGAGGCGATCGCGCACGCCGCAGTAGCTGGCAGCATCGCTGCAGCGGCCCACCAGCTGCTGATCGATCTGGAAAGGGAAAATCGGGGATTTCAGTTTAGTTGTCCTCTAAGGTGGAGTTAACCCAGACACTCACCCTGTCGTTCTCATAGTTGGAGACCATGACGAACAGATCGCAGCGCAGACCCTCGGGCAGGCCCTTGGCGATGAGCATGTGGTTGGGCCAGCCGCAGCCGCAGAAGTTGAACTCCAGCTCCTCGGGTGAGCCGGCTGCGGGACGATTGGCGTCCAGATTGCGGAAGGTGCGCTCGAACGGGATCGTCACGCTGGACTCTGTTGAGCGGCGGCGTATGGTGTTCGGGCCCGGGTTCAGGGAGACCACAAACTTGTCCAGCTCCACCATCATCAGGCGCTGCTCGCGCAACAGCATGGGCTGGCCACGCTCATCGTTCTTGGGGGCCATGAAGATGCGCACATAGCCGAAGCGCTGGGCACCGCCGTCATTGTTCACGTTGATCGTGTAGGTGAAGGGCGTGTGGGTCAAGTGGGTGAAGCGAGCGAAGACATTGCCGCGTGGCGTGAAGTCGAAGCCGCGCGACAAATCCATGTCGGACTGCTGCCAGAAGGTGGTCAGCACATTGGGCTGGCCGCCATTGGAGGCCACCTGGACGCCAGTGATGGAGATGCCCGAGTAGTTGAGCTGCGTGTCCGTGTAGGCGGGCAGGCGGGTCTTGTGCTCCTGGAAGATGCGATCGATGTAGGCGTGCCACCTGTAGAAGGCCGGATCGCGCATGGCCGTGGAGGAGTCGCCAATGACGCCGAAGGACTCCAGATGCTTGTTGTTCGTGTCGTGGGAGTAGGAGATGAAGACGTGGCCAAAGTTGTGCAGATCACCATACTGAAATTACAGGGTATACCGAATATAGTAAGGCCATAGACATGATAGAGTGCTCTATAAGGCTTACCAAAGTGCGATTGGGCGACAGAATGGAGGACTCCAGTATGTTGCCCAGGATATCAATGCCACGGGTCTCGTCCAGTTCTACGCGCTGTCCACGCTCCTAAAAAATACAAAGTAGCTATAAGCAATTGCCCCATCTGTGGCTTCATTTGCTACTCACATCCATGACGAAGCCCTGATGAATGGCCTCGTAGATGCGATCGCGCCAGCGCTCCAGATCGGCCACCTCCAGATTGATTTGATCCTGTTCGCGATTCAGATCACCCAGACGCGTATTGTCGAAACGTGGCGGCCAGGCGCGGCTGGACACGAGCGAGTCCATCTTGGGGAAGTAGCCCTCGGCAATGGGCTCGCGCAGGTTGTTGAAGGGCTGCGTGCGGGCCAGATTGTTGCTGAAGCGCTCCATGTTGTAGCGCGCCATTATCTGCTCGTGCATGTAGTAGAAGAGCTCGCCGCGGCGATCCTTGGCCACAATGCTGCGATCGGAGGCCTCGAAGGGGTAGACCAAATGCCAATGCCAGTGGTGAAGATTGACGCCCAGATCCTCGCGGAAATACCACAGGCGATGCTCCGGCTCCAGATCGGAGGCCGTATAGTCCCGGGGTATGACGATGGGCATGCGAGAGCCGGGCTGCACCACAAAGGACTCCTCGCGCAGCTCACGGAACACCTGCGAGTCGACGAAGCGGTCGGGGAACGACTGGGCGAACGAGGGCAGATCCAGTCCCTGGGTGTCGGGCCGATGCAGCAGTGCGACAGAGAGTGCATAGTTGAACATCACGGGATTGACACGATCGCGAGCGTAGACCGCCACGCTCTGCAGATCGTCGACGCTGCGCATGTTCACAAAGATGTCGATGAGGCGGCCAGCGATGCGTCGGTGCTTCGGTATGAACAGTGAGAACTGCTCCTCGCGGCCCAGGGACATGGGTATGCGCAGATCGGGGATCGAGATCTCTCGGACGGGCACACGCTGCTCCACCTTCTCGCCGACACGGCTCTGCACCTCGTTGCTGATCGGCCGGTAGCGATCGGTCAGATAGCTATCGGGCACATCGAACACCGTCACCTTCTTGCCCTTGTCCATGAAGACGGGCTCGGTGGGGTGCTCGAACAGCAGCAGTAGATTCTGAGTGTCGGCCATTGCACAGGATTAGAGAGAGTTGGAGCTGGAGCTTGTCGAGAGAGAGTCCCAAAAGAAATTGATGTACTAAGCACTTGTCGCACTTTGCAACTGTAACTATCCGGGAGTTCAGCTGCGCCTTTTATAGCTCTGCACTCTCTCGCGCTCTCTGCTATCTCTAACCACAGACGCTGCCCAAAAGAAGGCGCTGCGAAACGGCATAGTTTGTGGTGTCCAAAATGAAAGGAACTGATAGCAGCTGATAAGGCAACGAGCTGCAGCTGTGCATGGAAAACCGCAAAATTTCTATAATTTCAGTTTGTTTTTGTTTTCTTTTAATTTCAAATTTCTAAAATACATTTCTTAATGTTGTTTGTTTTTCATTCTTTTATTATAATTACGTTTACACATATATATGTATATACTAATTTGAGTGAAATTTGATTATTCATTTTGTATTTTTGTATGTATATAAATTATCTGCACTATAATTTCTTTTTCTCTATATATATATATATTCGTATGTATATATATATATATATGTCTGTATATATAGTATATTGCAACAAATTCTACGCTCGGCGCTTTCATAAATACATCGATACTAAATAATTATTGAACTACATGCACAATTTTTATGATATCTGTATACATATACATATATATTTCTTGAAGATCAACAACTTGTTTAAATTATATATTTATTTATACTTATACATACATGTCAGATAAAAGTAATGTTTCCCTAGAATTGCCAAGAATTTCAACAGATCAAATGAGAGAGACAGAGAGAGAGGGAGACTCTTTCTGGTTCTCCGCTTACTGCTCTCCTTTTACATATACCTCTCTCTCTCTGTCTCATCTCTCACACAAGCACACCTTCTCCCGATCTCATTTTCCTAACCCTTCTCTCTCTTAATCTTACTATGCCTTTTTTTCTTCCTCTCTTCTGATTTCTTCCCCCTGTTTCTTCATAATAATACATATCTATACCTTTGAAACTGTGTAAGATATATAAAGAGGTGAATATTATGTATATATATAGATAGATATAGACAGCTCTATATAATAGTGTATATACAAGTGTTGTTTCAGTTGTCTCATGTTGTTCTTGCAGTTGTAGTTTGTTGTTGTTGTTGTTATGTAAAAGCGTAAGTTCTTGTAAAAAGTATCTTAGAAAAGCCCTTGAAAATGTCCTGTGCTCCTTTGGTTTGGCCATTTGTTTCGAGTTGCATGATATGTTGGTTGTGTTGTATAAGCTCTTAGGATAGAAGTAAGTTGGGTTTTGTTCTCTTGGTTCTTATAGATGAAACAGAATAGAGAATCAACGCTTGGTACCCAGAACCATTAAGAAGAGTGAGCATTGTGTCAGTATATATATATTGTGTTCAATATGCGGTATAAATCTCTTTAATCATATCAAAAATTACATACAAATATATATGTATTTACATAATGTATATATATATCATTTAATAATATATATCGTGCCTTGTAAAAACTCAATGGAAATACTTACAAAAATAGAGAGCAAAGTGTAAAATACATAAGAATACAATTTATGCAAAATATAATCAGTGCCATTTGTTCAAACAACTAAAAAGTGTTGTTTCATATCAAAGTAGATGGAATATAAAGCTGAACTAGTTTCATATGATGTAGTTTATATAATGCCGAATGTGTTGAATGTTGCATGCTGCATGTGGCATGTTATATGTTGTATGTTGCCTGTTTTATTTGTGTCCATTGAGTGTAGTTAAAAAAGTTGTTCAAGCTTTAGTCACATTTTTGGAGCTGAAGCAAATTCTCTACGATTTGTATACATATATATAAAACGTTTAAATACGATTTGATTCGGTTCGATAACTTTGATTTTTGCCATAAATAGATAGTTACAAATAGTTGATAGTGGTTGCTTTTGATATACATATACATATATATATATATATATAGTATATATATGGATTCCATTTCTTTGTTTGTTCTTAAAGTTTTCGCTTTTGTTTGTATGTTGTGTGTGTATATTGGTGCCCAAATATTTTCAGACTACGCTAGTGCTACTTTCTTTTCTTTTTTTTTTCATTTTTTATGTAATTACAATAACAACTATTCGAAAAATTTTGCATGCATTATACACCGACTGCTAAGGAACTTGCACTACAATTTTTTTGTTTGATTTTCTTAACTTGTTTGTCTGCTCTTTTGTCCTTCTCATTTCCCAAAACATAAAAACCAAAAAGCTGAAATTTTGTTAAAATGTAAATCAATTTTGTTGTAAATAGAGCTTTGCTATGTAATACATATATATGGGGAAATATATATAGTATATATGTAATAACAACTTTCTGTTTTGTACTGAGATTCAGGTTTTCAAATCGTTCGTATCACTTGCCTCGAACAGCACACGCACACACGCACATACACACAGTTACACAGATACTACAACACAGCTTGAGATACTTTCGAAGATCAGAGACTCAGGTACAAGTATTCGTTTAGCCCCTATACGAAATATATAACATAATTCTTATTGAGAACTAACATTGAAGTGCAGTTGGAAGCAAATCATTTTTAGAAAACATATAGGTAAAGCAACGTTATATAGAACTACGGCGAGCCGAAGTTGGAATACTCTTGCAGAGAGAGAATTATGTAGATTATAGTATGGATGGATAAAAGATCAAAGATTAAAAAATCTATTTTATTTTTTGTATATAAAATTCGATTTAGGCAAAATTAATGAAAATTAATAGAGAATTCAAAGAGTGAATCTCGAGCAAAATAATATTAAATCTGGCTCATACCTAAATATATGCTTTCAATATCTTTAGAACTTCACTCCAGACTTTTCATAAAAGAACAAAGCAGAGCAAAGCAGACTTTACAGACATTCTTCTGAAATATATAAATAAATCCTCATCAAGCAACTGTCTATCCCATTTATACACTCAGCTCTGCAAGAGTCATATAAGGTTAAGCTAAAAAGAAAAAAATATTACATAACTAACGTAGCCAAAGGCAAAACGGAAGAAAATGAACTTGAACATCAAAGGAAATCTGCAATCCACAAAACCGGAAATAACCCACATCAATGCAAATGTATTGCCAATGCTTATGACTTAACTAATGACTTTTTGGCTTGGCTGCGACCGCTGCTCCACCTGCTGCTGCTGCGGCTCCTGTCGGCTTGTTCAATTTGGTGCCACCTGGGAGGTGGTATTTTGGTACTCCTGCCGGCAGTAGCCCATCACGATATCTGAACGACAATCGCCGCCCATTAGGCCGGGCAGCAGCACCGCAGCGCCCAGTATGGTGACCAAGGCGCCAAACACGACCAGGCCCAGGGCTGGCAGCTTCTCGCGGCTAAAGAGGGCATGCGGCTCCATTTGAATGTAGGCCAGACCAGGCAATATGTAGGCCAGCGGTATAGCTGCCAGAAGACCCTAAGTGGCATAAGTGAATATATAGAAAAAGAGAAAACAAATTTCATGAGAACTCAGTTGATATTTAGAGTATAGTGTGTTTGTGTGTGTGTGTGAATCAAACTCACATTCAATTCCAAAACGGAGCCCAGGCAGTCGGTCATGGGCGATATTATGAATGCGCTGAACACAATGGCCAAGGTAATCGCTTTCGAATACTCATCAATTTCGGCGCCCTTCTCCAAGCTGGGATCCTTGTCCTGGGTGAACTCACTGATGGGCTCCTTCAGCACGAACCGATGCACCAGAGCGCGCACAATCTGCAATGTTGCAACAACAATCTGTGTGAATCTATGCAGTATATCAAAGATGTGCAACAATAACAGCAACAGCAACAGCAACAACAACAGCAGCTGCAGCAACTGTGTGGCACGAAATCCAAAATGTAATCTATGTGGCAAAACAACTTGGCCAGAATGACCCACCCAGCAGCAGATGGTCCAAATAAAGTGCTAAGCATTACAGAAACTATCTCAAGGGTATGAAACAAGTGGCAATGATTTTTCAGTATGTTGCATGACTAACGAATACTCTGTAAATGTCAAATAACATATTCTTTTTCTAATCCTAACACCATTAAACAATGCTCGAGTTATAGCACTCCTTAAAAACTATCCAACTATTTCCTCAGTCGCTTCTATCACTGCTAACTTCCCAAAGACAACTAATAGGCCACCTACCTCTCGTGAAACGAAACACTCGATGGGAAACGTCAGCAGTATGGATATGGAGAAGAGCACACGCGAGAAATTCATTAAGTCATCATCCCAGCAATAGTTCTCGAGTAAATCGCCTGCAATAGAGAAACGAAGCAGAGCATAGATTATATGGCCAGCAGGGCAACAGATTAAAATGGCGCTTTAACAGCGCTCTAAAAAGAGGACGAAGAAGGAGGCAAAATAAGAGACCAGAAAATGCCATTAAATGCGAGCGTAATTGTCAATTAGTTTACCCTGGGAGAGGGCGCGGAATGTTGAATAGCCCGCGATGCCGAAGAGCGCTGCCACAGTCCAGGCAAATCCAATCGAGATGTGGGTGACCTTCTCCCAGCGTTCCATGGTCGCCTCTCGCATCGATTGATAAACGAGAAATGTGTTGTGATGACACATGAAAGCTAAACCGAGAGGGAGAGCGAAAAGAGAGAGAGAGAGAGAGAGAGAGAGAGAGAGGTATGTTAGAGCTGACATTGAGCGTGACAAATGTAATTTAATTGTTTCTTCTTCTTTTTTCAGTCTTGAGTCCTTAGCCTGGCTTATCCGCAATCAAGTCGCGGTTTATGCCTGCTGCTGCATAATGCGCAGCATTTTAATGCGTAGCTACTCACCAAACACCATTATGCCCGTGGCGGGTATTAGATCCGTGTTAGCGAAGCGCCACGACTCGGCCGTATCCGTGCTAAACGCAGCAACAGGCGAAGGCAAAAAATGAAATATATATGCATAAATATAAAAAAGGGATACCTTTTAGCCTGGCTAGCTGAGAAATTACGCAAACTTAACACCAAATTAACATTTTTCCCTTTTCTTTTAGATTCACCGAGTGATGTAAGATTCACACTGGAAACAAGGACGTAGGTGCGGCTTATGCTCCATCGAGCCGACGGACAGAACATAATTTGCAGAAGATAAAAGCAGAGCGCGAACAGCACACAATGGCTGCAGCAGCAGGCGTGGCACAAATGTACACAAATTGGAAATTTATTTAAATTTTATGCCCAGCTACAAGCGCTCAAAGCTCGAGCACCCGTTGACCATGAAATACGCAACAGCAGTGGGTGGAGGAGGATGATGAGGAGGGGATGTGGTAGAGTGGCAGCTGAAGCAACTGGCGAGTGTTTGGCTGGCAGCTCGAGTCGCCGTTAGCAACAGTGTGGCAACTGCTAACGACTCGCCATCGCCACTGCGTTGCACACACTCGAAATGCTGCTGCCACAGACGGAGATAGACAGTTCCACTGCTGCTGCTGCTGCTGCTGCTGTGGCATGCAACAGCCATTCGACAAACTAATGAAAAGCTATAAAAGCCAAACAAGTGGCTCACTACATTTTATGGCACTGGGCGCCGCTCAATGCCGCCGGCCCGGACCCAGCCAAGCCGAGCTCGGCTAAGCCACCACAGATTTGCAGGCACTAAAGCGCCACTTAGTACTAAAGCGACCGGGACTCAACCTCAACCAATAACAAACTGAAAAAAAAAAAAAATGGAAAAATAAAAAAAAAAACAAGCGCCAACCACTGTACCGTTGTTTTTAGCCAAGAGCTTTGCCCATAAATTCGTTGCGGCAGTCGCGCAGCAACAAATTGTAATTAAAATGCAAATAAATCTGTGCGCGTTATTAGACAGCGTCGGCACTCATATTTTTGATAATTTGTATAAATTGCGTGAAATAATGAAAACAAAAGGGAAACACAAAAAATAAACACAATTTATACAACAAAAAATATATAACTCGGGGTAAAAAGGGCACGGCAGGCATTTCATTGTTTTGTGCTTGGATTCTAGTCATATTTTTCCATCTCAATATCTTGAGGGATATATTAATACCCATTTTGTATACATAAAATGTCTACTCATAGGATCTGTAAATTAATATATTATCCTTTAGTTCTGCGTTGCTTCTATCATATCAGTTCCTGTAAGCTCTTTAAGTTATGCAAAAGTTAGTCTATTTAAATCTAGAAAATTAACTAAAATAAACAACCTTGATTATTTAAAAAATATATATTTTTATTCAACCAAAATTTTAATATTTGTTAAGAAATAAATTAAAGAAAAACTATATTCATATAATCAAAAAAATATTCAAAATCCTCTTTTTTACTTCCAACTGGGCGGAATTTTAAATGATAATTCGAGTGAAATGCCTGGCGCACAGAGTAGACAAAAATCTTGTAATTTAAAATTTTACTGCATACGCTAACGGGAAAATTTAAATGAAAATGCCAAGAGCAACGATTCTTCTTAAGCAATTAACATTTTAGCTAACTCCAAGAATTTTAAAAATTATTGAATCCATTGGACAGCTTTGTTCTATTGTAATATTGCCTAATTAGTATTGCCGTAAGCATACAACTGAAAAAGTGGATGTTTAACGTTATTAAATGCATAAAAAAAATTTAATTAAAATCAACTAAATTCAGTTATAAAAGCCAAAGTAATAGAAATAAAATGAGAACATAATTGAAAATAAAGTGATGCATTAAAAAGCTTCTGTATTTGTGTATATTATTTTGACCTTCATAAAAAAACTAATTATGATCTCAACATGACTTGTTTCGTTTATTAAAGCCAGATGATATGCATGAAAAGGCATATTAAATTTGCCACACTTATTTGGCATACATAAATAACCCATAAACTATAAAATTTGATATTTATGAGTTTTGTTTTGGGCAATAAATAAATTTAGGAAACAGATAAAATCTAATATTTATATTGCTCAATTTGAGTTCAGCCAATTAAATGCATTTATTATTGATTTTAATAAATGTTGTATGAGCTCAATCTGCAGCAAATTTAAGTGCATACTTTCAGGCTGGCACATTAAAGCTGCAAAAGTTATCACGTACACGAACCATTCCAAACTCTTGCGCTGTGCAATTTAATTTATTGCATACTTTTCGGCAGGGTAATTTATTAGTTACGCGAATATATTTAGTAGATATCGGTTAACTGTGCAAAAACCTTGCCAATTCCCACACGTACATACTGATATTTGAAAATGAGTTTCAAATACCACAGCTAACAGACGTGTAGCCCTTCAAAATGAACTTTAACTTTCATTTGACACCCCACAACAAATTCGATTTATAGCCATTTACTGTCAGAAATTTAATTTCCCTTAGCCCCAACTGTCAGACATTCGAATTAAATATTTGGCAAGCCAACGGTAAATCCTATAGCCGCGCTTGTAATAAAACTTGCCAACCCATAAATAACTTATTCTCAAACATATACTCACACTTTATAATCGCCCGACATAAGTTTTATGATGACGGCAAACAATATGAAGACGACACACGCCAGGCTAATAAAACTGGCGCGCGCTAAACGGGAGACGTTCTTATAGAGGCACAGTGGCACCACAACGCCGACGGTGACAAAAAAGACGACGCCCAAACGCACCGCGCCCATCGAATCGCCCCAGGATGGAAAGAAACGTACCAAAACTTTTGATAAGGTATCGCCCACGACAACATTGTAAGATATCATGGCTGTAAAATAACAAAACTTTGTTAGTTACCTGGCTGTGTGTGTGTGGGTTTGGCTGTTGGCATACAGCCATACATTACAATATGTAATTTGGTGATTAGCGCCACTTACCCAGAAAAGGATACATGAACTGCAGCAGCGATAGCAGATAGTAGCCGTACTTGCCGTAGGCAGCCTCCATGATGCCCGGGTAGCTGAATCGACCGCAGATGTGACCGCATCTCACCTGCAATGATAAATCGAGCTTAGCAGCTAGATCTTTCTCCCTCTCTCTCTCTCTCTTTCTGTCTCTGTTGCTCTGTCGTCCATTCATTAATTATGCAAATTGTGATGATTTTTCGTAACGGATATGCATTTAATTTGCCGCGCGACGGTTAGCGAGACACGCGTTCAATTTCCGTTTCCGGCTGCGTTTCCGTTTCGGGCAAATGATTTGCAATTTGTGGCGCCTGGCCTGCTGGCCAACGCCATTAACTCACCATCAGTATGAGCGAATAGTCGGTTATGTAGGCCACCAGGATGAGCAATGCAAGGCCCAGGCCGAAGCCGGCCCGGTGCAGGGCGTAGGGTATGCCAATGACGCCGCTGCCAACGATGGAGTTGATATAGTTGAACGATGCTTGTGGTAATGAGGACAACGTGTCGCCTGATAGCCCATCCCCACGTTGTTGTTGTTGCTGTTGTTGTTGCGAGGACTGCTGCTGCTGCTGCTGCTGATGCTGTTGCTGCTGTGGCTGGCCCTGTTGCTGATGTGTCTGATGGTCGTTCTAGAGACAACGTTAAGCAAAAACAAAAGTTGTAGCGTAATAGTGGGAATGGCAGCTTGAGTGACTGTGGCTGTATCTCAGTGTGTGTGTGTGTGTGAGTCTCTGTGTGTATGTGTGTGTGTGTGTGTCCGTTGCGTTTCGGTTTTGGTTCGCTTTATTATTGTACGTTGATTGGGATAAGAGCGCAAAATTGCCTCGAGTGCCTCTTTACATCAAAAGCAAACTGTCCCCTTCTGACACACAATCAACCCCAGCCACCCCCCTCCTCACACACAGACAACGCTGCGTCGTATTCGCAATGTGCAGGTAGGTTACGTATACGCAACCTTATCGTAAATTGTTGCTGCCAGCGCCAGTTAGATTCTGCCATGTAGTAAAATGCTTGTGCGGCCCGCTTGCACGCTCTTCCACTCTTCATTTTTGCTTTTGTCAGTCATCCCGCTAGCGCGCTCGAAATGTAGCCATAAAAGACAAGTTTATATGAAGGGCTTAAACATAAACCCGAATAAAATGCCACATCACGGCGCAAGGCCAATGTTGTGACAGCAGAAACAGACTACCAGAAAGACTATGTCTATGTGTGTGTGTGTGTGTGTGTGTGTGCGTGCAGTTAGCCAAGTTAGTGGCAGCTGAAGCGTTTACTGCATTGCGAGCAAAAACTTTTACCAGCTGTTTGCAATTAAACAAGTTTTCACTTGCTTTTCTTGTATTTTTTATTTTTGCACTCCATTTTTCATATATTTTTTGCTGGCTGTGGCAACTAAGTTGTGCCCGGACAAACAGTGCGAAACGCCAAAACAGCTGAAAGCAAACAAGCTAACAAAGTTCTGGGTACAGTTGATGCTCCCTCTCGCTCTAATTCTCTTCGTCACTCTCTCCCTCTCACTCTCACTCGCACTCTGTAGCTGTGTCGCTCTGTCTGGCAAAGTTGCGAGTTAAAACCGTAAAGCAAATATTTGGTCGTAGCTACTTTAAAGGCCTTCTGCAGCATGCCGTGCAGCTGGGCGTAGGCGTTGGGGCATGGCGCTGCGTACTGAAAATTTCCAAAAGCAAATTACGTGCGAGTTGAGTTTCTCAATTCAATTAAGTGGCGACAGGTGGCAGAGTTCATTGCATACTTTATAGAGCAGCGAGCAGGTAGGTAAGCGATAGGGGGCAAGCGGCATGGCACGTGGCTGGAGTGCCATTAAAAATGCCATTTAGTATCAAAGCAAGTGGCTAATTATAGGCGTTGGCCAACTATTAAAAATGTTTGCTCTACACACACACACGAAAACAAAGCAACCATAGGCAGAGACAGAAAAGAGAAAGCGATAAGGGGAGCGAGACAGAGTCGTGTAATTCAACTCTCAACTCAAACGGGTCTGGCAAGGACGGCCAAAAATGAAATTACAAAGTGTCCTTCCGCCAAAACAAATTGCGGGCACAGCAAAAGCCAGAACCAGCCAGAGAGGCGGAGCGACAAACAAAGTTCTGACTGCTCGTTAATCTGGCAGCAGAGCGAACAAGTCGAAGTAAAGCTGGCCTTCCTCACTCTCTCTGTCTGTTTGTCTGTCCGTCTGCCACACGTGAGCGCCGAATGGTCGCATTTAAATGCCTAATTTATAACACGCATTGTTATTGTTCGCCTTTACGCGTGGCAATTAGCCGACAAATCCTGTAAATGCCACAACTGCTCAACACTCGCATAATACAACATGTTTTTTAAAGCGTTTCGCTTATCATTTGAATTCGAATTGGCATCGTCGCACGAATGGGAATGTGCCAAACTGAGGGCATTAAATATGTAAAGTCTCTGACAGGTGCCTACACTCGCATAATGTTGATACAAAAAGGAGGCAGAAGGTGGAGGGAGAAGGAGGAGCGGAAAAAGCATTATAGGAATAAATAAAAATTGCTGCCCGCACTCAGTGCAAGGGCCCGAAAAGTGCTGTCAGCCATAAAAGGGAGAATATTATAAAGAGTAAAGCATAAAATATGAAATATGTAAAAAAGGGACGTCCTGATAAGACGACGACGTGAATGCCACATAATTATTATGCGTGCCCTGTGCATACTTCATATTTACTCTCCAGAGGCTCTACTCAAGGCATTTATTTGTTGACACATGTTGGCGCACAGAGCACTCAATTTTATTCCGTTTTGCTGTTAACCAGAAACTTAAAGCAAACACACACACACACACACACACATACATACACAGTTCTTCTATATATTTGCCATGCACACAGTCCCATAAATAATTTGTCAGCCTTTGCCCAAACTCCCTGCCAAGCAATTAAAGCTCGCAATCCAATTAATTTCCCAAAGAGCAGTGCAAAACAAAAAATAATGCAAAAATAAAGCAGACAGAGAAAAATAAAAAATAAAAAGAGAGCTGCAAAAACTGCTCAGGTCGAAACTCAATTGAGCCAAAGCGTGTGAAGCGCAAAAGGCAACATGAAAAAAGAAAGAAAGAAAGAGAGAAAATAACAGAAATTACAAATAAAATTGCTGTAGGCAGGAGGCGGCATGCGCGACTATGAAATGCACTGCCAAGCTGAGATTTCATAATTTATATGGAAATGGAATTCGATTGAACTCGACTACGTGGAAAGGTACAAATATTTAGGCAGCTCTCTTTTTATCAAATTTATTCTAGCATTTGTATTCCATTTGCATTCAAGTAAAGCTCCCTCTAAGTGAATAATAGAATATTCTGGTATGTGAATTGGTTGGAAAGAGTGGGTGATACGATGATATGGATATATAGAGATCAAGAGAGTGAGAGACAGCAACAGAGAAAGAAAGATGGAGGAATCTATCCCTTTACTCTAGAAACGGGGAAGAAAGGGAGAAAGAGGTCGAGAGGGAGGATTAAAGCAGATAATGAAAAAGACAGAAAACGAGATAGATGCAGAGGGAGAGAGAGTTAGATACAGAGAAACAGAGAGAGAAAGGTAGAGGTAGGCAGAGGGAAAGAGAATTAACCAAATGAAGTCAAAGACACAGAAAAGAGAGCGAGACTAAGAAAGTAATAGTTTAAAGGAATTTATTTTTGGGAAAAATATTCTGCCCCCCTTGTATTTATATTTTTATGAATATTTAAGCATAGGCATAATCAAAGTATTTCTATATCTATAATCTCCAAATTCCATTTAAATAAAATGAAATTATATCCCGATATCAAAAACCCATATGCCTCTACTTTCGCTATTCTTTAACCAATATACACATACACTTACATAGCTACACACCTATACATATATACCAAATTAAAGCCCGAGAAGGAGTTTAGGCATTGCCTGACATTTTCACACACATACACACACACACACACACTCACACACGTAGAGCAAACTGAGGCCAGGTACACGTTTCTAATAAAAGGCAAACATTGTCTAAAGCAAACACAAACACAAACACAAATACAGACACCCACACCCACACTCACACTCACACTGACACTGACACTCACACAGACACAGACTTAAAGCTAGCCAATGACTAACCGGGCCAATCCAATGCCTCAGCTAGGAAGCAAACAAACCTTTTCATGCACTGCACGATTTTAATTAATAATATTCATGTAGCTGATGGGGCAACACACACAGCAAAATTGCCAGCTGCTCAGTGGAGCACACACACACACACAGACACACACACCAATACACCTCAAACACGTAAAAAAGTAAACTGCAGAGAAATTTGTTTGGCTAATGAAATTAGGCGCGAGCAGGTCAAAAAGCTGAAACTCAAATGGAAGCAAACAAAAAAAATGTGTAAGCGAAAGAAAAAAAAACGTGGACAAGTGGAAAGAAGAGGAAAACGTGTCGCTTGCTTGATTTGAATTTGTTGTGGCAAAAGCGTTTAGGCACAAATGTCAATACCAGGTGCGAGCAGGTGCGGCAGGTGCGGCAGGGGTGGTGTGGCTAGGTGCCATAAGCTGCTGCAATTAACATGCGCTAACCAAAATGTTCAACCGCAATTATGCGCATGGCAAATGTCGAGCTGCGCTTTTTGTGAGTGAGTGTGTGTGTGTGTGTGTGTGTGGCTTGTTGACTTGTTGGTGTTGTTGCCTGTTGTTGTGGCCATGTTGTTGTTGCTGCACATGCAGATAAACAAACAAGCCCGCCATCCAGCCAGCCACACAACAAGCCATCTAGACCCCTGTTCCTCGCCCTTGCCGTAGAGTAAACAGCAGCCACCTGTCCAACACACGTACAACAGCAACAACAACACAACAGCAACAAGGAAATAGATTTTTTTTTTTTGTTCTTTGCGACCTTCTGCCATGGCCATTTGCCGTTGTGTTTTTTGGCTTTTGTCTTGCTTTTAACTGTTTGCCATTTCAATCTGCTGACTCTGGCTTGGCCATTGCGACTGCTTCACGAATTTAATTAGATTTTCGGCCAAGCCACTTGCCAATTAATAAGTTATTTGAATGCTTTTTAGCAAAACTTGCACATAAATTACGTATACAAGCTTTCGTTTTTGTCAATTTGCTGCAAGCGCCTCTCGCCCCCGCTGCCCATTTGCGTTCCGGCTCTAACTGGCCTTGCGTCTTGCGTCTTGCCCCTTGCGCCTTGCCCCTTACCCCTTGCGCCTGGCTAGCCATTAGTTGGGCAAACAATCAGCTACTTAGTGTGTCCGGGTTGAGAATTCGCTTTTGCTTTCACTTTCATCCTGGCCATGGATTTTAGTTTTCCTCTGTCTTTGCCTGCTTTGCTTCCCACTTCCTCTTCTTCTTCTGTCTTTTTTTTCTGCCTTGTTCTTAATGTTGAGCCTCGCTTTGCTTTTTGGGCAGCCTTGTTAGGCTTAATGGCAATGCCAACACTTTCAGTGTGAGCCTACGAAAACAATGCCTGCACACGCACAGTCACACACGCCCACAACCACCCACACACACACACATACACACACATTTGCTATGCATAGTCGTGTAACAACATATCAAATTACACAACTTTTTTTTTTTTTTTGCCGGCATTGTCCTCAAGCAGAAATGAAATTTGCTGCAAAGTTTTTGGTACGTATTCCTTCTATTATTCCTCTCAGCCTTTAAATGCCTCTGAATATCCTTTGAGACATTAAAAATTCGCTTTTAGCATTTAAGAGCTTCACAAGAGGTCTTAAAGCTGGCGTCTTTAAAAATGTGTAAAAGAGAATATTTCTATATATCAGATGAGAATTATTACAAGCAAAGCAGCAGGAAAATTTCGATTCAGCTTCTAGTTATAATTAAATTTAATTATGAATAGTATCCATTGGCTGGCGCTAAAAGCCAATGTGATTGAGAACAAAACGTTTTATCTTATTATTGAGCAAAGCCGCTTTGATCTGCCCAGAGATAGCCGCGTTTATCTAGACTTTGCTTATGCGCTTTAAGGTCAAATCTCAGAAATGCAAATTTCATGCAAAATTAAACAGAATTCGCCCTTTCAGGCGCTCGGACAAGTTAAGCCATTAAAGCTGCACGAAAAAAAAGATGGCGCATTCAAAGCAGCATCAAGCCGAAGGAAAAGTTAAATATTTGCACCTCCGCAGACATATTTACTACCTACTATATATCTATACATATATTACTGAATAGCAAAGGAGAAACAGAATTCAGTTAATGTCAAAAAAGCAAAGGGAAAGAGCCGAAGAGCAGGCGAGCAGAGGAAAGTGAATTGCACTTCATTTTTCATCATCAGCTCAACTGGATTTTTAATAAACTCAAATTGAAATGAAATTTAATAAAGAGAGCAAGAGCAGGAGGTGGGGCAGCAGGCAACGGTGGCGGCGCGTCAGGCGGAAAATATTTAGAATAGTATAAGAAAATTCTTTGATGCCGCAGACCAAGTGAAATTTCCGCCAGCTCTCGAGAAGGCTGCGGCCAATGCCAGCAATTTTAAGCACCCAAAGCTCGCTCTCCCTTTCGCTCTCCCTCCCTCTCTCTCTCTCTCTCTATGTGTGTGAGTTTTTTATGCATTTGGAATTCGTTGAATGTGAATGTGAATATGTATGCAAAGACATGTCGATTTGCATGTTGCTGGATGGGCAAGAGAATGGTCAGGGGTAGGGTGAGGGCGAGGGTGAGGGCGTGGGTGAGGAGAATCTGGGTCAGTTATTACCTTCATTAAATTGTTGAAGTCGTCGAATGCATATGCTTCAGCAGCGGACACATCGCTGCCCTACAAAAAACAACGCAGCATCGATTTTGCAAATCAAATTGTTAGTCATTTAATCAAGTTCGGTTCAATGGGGGGCGGGGGTCAAATGCAGTGCCGTCCCTTAGCCACGGAAAATGCCATTCGGCTGTGCAAAGTGTGCGATTTGTGCGAGTGGGCCATAAAAAATCATGCGCTATCAAAATATGCATTGCAAACCAAAGGCAAAAAAAAGAAAAACAACAGATACAATAGCAACAAGAAGCAGTAAAAGAGAGAGTGAGAGAGAGAGAGAGAGCAAATAACAATATATTTCGCATGCCAAATATATACGTAGATTGAACACGTGTTTTTATTTACTCAGCGAGAAATGCATGTGGGGTATATTGATTTTGTGCATGTGTAGGTAAAATATTGAGGTAGGCTGCCTTGACTTGGTTATCAGAAAGAAAAGTTGAATTGATTTGGATATTTTTTTTATAGAAAAATAGGTAAGGAAACAAGGATAGGATATCAACCCAAAAGATTAAAAATATAAAATGAAGTTCTCTAAATATGAGTAAAATTTTAATGTACAGCATTTTTAGTTAATGGACAAGAAATGTTAAAAGTTAAAAAATAAAAATTTTAATAACTAAAACACAAGCATTGGTTAGATATTGACAATCTTGTGAAAATTAGTGGCAAAGAAAATTGGATAAATATTTTGTGGTAGAGATTAATATTATATTAAATTTTTTTTTTTAATTTAATAAATATATTTATAAAAAAATTTTCCGCTATTTAATTGAAAATTAATCAAAAAAAAGTATTTTCTTTTTTTTTTTGTTATATGTATATACATTATAATTATTATTATATTTATTGGATGTCACACGACAATTATATAAAATAGATTCATTCCAGCCTAAAAATAATATCCATCAATATTACCATTATCTATCAACATTATCATCCCTCTCTTAAGATAACTATCAGCTTTGTAGACCTAAATTTGTTTTATATTTTCGTTAGTAAATTGAATACGTTTGCCGCCGCACTAACTAAGCTCTGATTTAAGAGCTACGAGCCCAGGGTATCAGCGACGGCTTATACACTTGGGCTTACAACATTTGCACTTGTTTTATGTAGCAATGCGGCTCAGCCCAATGGACTTGCTGTTGCCATTTACGCTTGCTCCCGCCCCCACTCACACTTTGAATGGGACTTTCTCCTCTTTCTCTTTCCTTTTCTTTATTTTTTTGCCGATATTATTGTTTCGCGTCGCCGTCAGTTACCAAGATATTCACAAATACAGAGGCCACAGAGCAGCGAACAGGCAGCGGGCTGCGGAAAGAGCTACAGCCAGAGCCTCAGATATACAGTTGGCCCAGAGCGCATTTGTTTTTATTGTTTTGCCACCAGACACACGCACACACACACAGACACAAATACAGATACAGAGATACACTCACACATACACACTCGCTGAATCCATCACTGAGGCATAAAATCGGCGTGAACGTGAAATCGAAACCATTTAAAGCAGCAAAGCCATCCCCAGAGAGGGCGCTAGGTGGCGTGGGCGTGAACGGAGGGAGGGGAGGCAAGGCAATGGCTTTTAGCCGATGCCTGGCCGCACCTAAGGAACGCTTTCACTGGCCTGGCTCGCACTTGGCCATTTTTTATGTGCGGCTTGAGATTTTTATTGCTCGTCTACTCAGATAATGCGCTCAAAAAAAAAAAAAAAAAAAAAAATCAGAAAAGAAAAACAAAAATCTCTAGCAGCAGCTGTTGAATGCACGCAATGTGCCATTTTATAGATTATATATGTATATATATATAGCACATCAAAGTCTCTGACATCGTTCAGCTCTTTTTTTCGACAGTCGTGACATGTGCAACACGTTATGCACTTGATGCATTGCATAACATGCACTCGGACTCAGCTCTGTGTTTGCACTTCGATTTGATTTGTATGCCACGCCCACGCACACAGCGCCCACTGGCATGCACTTAGTCACTGTCGGTGTCAGAGAAAAAGTGAAAAGTAAAATGGAAAATGGAAAAGACGATGACGTCGCTGCCGCTGCCGTCTCTGGCGCCGCATTGGCCTTCGAATTGTTTTTAAATAGATTTCTTCGACGATTTCTTGATTTGTCAATGGGCCATGGTCAATGGCCAGGGATGTGGCCATTCAATTAGGTCGATTTTACTTAAAATTAATGCATGCGCCTGGCCGGCCCTCGGCTCGTGTCACATTGCGCATTCAGCAAATGCTGCCAAGCATGGCGTATACTTAATATTGTTTTGCTCCATATATTTACGCCCCAAGGCAATTGCTATTTTTACTGGCATGCACATGGCTTACGCTTTGGACGGAAATCCTTTGCAATCTATTGGAAAGCAACTTGCATAGAGCCATAATTGAATTAATAAACAGTTTTCTGACGCATATTTTATTTATATGCCAGCGAATAGTGCAATTGCATTGCCCTTCAATTAAGTTGTTGTTAAGGAAAACAATTATTCTGCTATAAATTGTTGGTAAATATGTGATTACGGCGAGGATGTGACCTGACTAATCAGCATTTATAGCGTATTCCCTTTATTGCCATAAAAATTGATCAAAAGTAATACAAGGCTTGGCTTGGCTTATATTTAGATTGCATTGTCGAAAGCTGTTTAATTTTCACATTTACAACTTTTTTAAATTCTCTTCGATTCCACAGATTTTTCATTGGAATTAATAGAATCAATAGAATAAAAGAAATAGAGAATAATAAAACGTAAATTGTTAAATTTATATTGAAGATGAATTATTTTCCTTCATTAACATGGACCTTTTCTTTAAGTCCTTATAAGATGAGGGAAGTAACACCATTCTCTATCTTATTATGTGTCATAGGGAGAGACGGACGGACAGCAAGACGGATATTGCACAAAATCAATATACTTATGAAACAAGGAATAATATATAAAACAATTTATTACATGCTACTGTCGTTAAAGTATAAATTATTTGCAAATATTCTCATATTTTTATATAATGACAGAAATATAAAAAAAATTTAGATAATAAACAGTTTTACTACTCACAAATACTAAAATATTGTATTTTATTCATATTTCTTGTCTCACTTTTAATTTATTTGACTCGTAAGCCAAGTTTATATAAGCCTCTTAAAAATCCTCTTAAGCAGCTCTAGCTGTAGCTTCTATTTAAAGTCCTCTAGCAGAATCATATTTGAGCAGCATTTCATCTTGGGATAACTGTAGCTTAAGCTGGTCTGTCAGCTGATTGGCTTACACAGATATCAAGTGCTGTGAATTGCGGGCTTTGTGCCTGGAACAGGTGTATCAATATTTGCACCTTGTGCACGTGTTGCCACAAGCGCTGCACTCGCATTTGTATGCAGCGGCTGATGCAGACGACATTGATTTCTCTTATCGCAACTTGTTGTGGGGCTGTGGTTGGGGATTTGAGGTCGACAATGCGAGTGCAGCGAGTGGCGTTGACGTTTTTATTTGATATTTAAACAATGCGAATGCCGCCGCCGTTGCCGTCGCCTGGCTTCCTGGCGCAGCCAAAACACTATGCGCTGCTAGTCGTGGCCTGGCAAGGCCTGCCTTAAGGTCGCACTCCGAGCCGCATGCCATGCATATTAAGCGACGATTAAGCAGAAGCTTCTGGCTATGCCACATACCACATGCCGCATGCCGCATGCCACATGCTGTTGCATGGCCATCATAACAATGCTGCACAAACTCATCAGTATGTGCAGCAGGCGTCGCAAATGCCGCAGCATCTAGATACGAGTCTCTCTCTGTATGTGTGTGTGTGTAATTAAAGCTCAAGACGCGCGCGCGATTTATCGATTTTATGATAAAAACGGCTGCACACACAGCCGTTTCCCAAGATTTGCCACGCCTAATTAAATCTGTAGGACATGCCCATAATTCCTTCTGACTCTTTTTTTTTCGTTAGGCCAATTCCCTTGGCAGGCCAAAAAGAAACTGACAAATTGTGCGCAGCCAGCAAAGGTCACAATACACACGATGAATAAGGTACATTTCATAAGGTTGCAAGTTCTTGTGGTTTATCCCACGCACACACACACACATACGCCCACACACACAACGACTGGAACACCCTTCATTAATCATAAGCATGAATGTGTGTGTGTGTGTTGCATGTGATTTATTAATTTTCCTGTGAGCAGAGCTGGCAGACAATATGGATACATATTGAGTTATCACTCAATCAAAACTGTATTAGCTGTCGAGTTGCTCTTGTTGCTGTGTGTCATTGTCTTAATGCCCCGGGCGTGTGTAATTTGCGTGTTATTGTTGTTGTAGTTGTTGTTGTTGCTGTTGCCCCGTCATCGCCATTAAAGGCAGCCGAAAACAAATTGATTTCATTCATGATTTAACAGTTTGCTCGATTGGGCGCACACGCAAGCCAATTGCCAAGATAATCCTCAGATTGTTTATTTGCACAGTTTTATATACAGCACACACACACAAACACACACAGTCACACCATAACTCTAATGAATTTTGTGTCAGACTCAGCCGCAGCCCAGCCTCAACGGTCCCAAACATTCGCCTGAGTTTGTATTTTAACAATCTTAAGGGATTATCGGCACGTCAATAGCTTCTGCACACATCGACGCACAGTTATGCATATATCAATGTAGATAAGTATATAAGTATGTGTGTGTGTGTGTGTGTGTGTATTGGCATACTACTACATATACTGTTGGGGCTTTCATCGGAATTCATTTTGCAAAGTATTCATATGTATGTAAATCGGAGTTGACCGCGTGACTTGGCTGCCAATGAACAATGAACATCGTCCTGATGCGAACGAAAGATAAAGCAGCCAGGGCAAAAGTATTAATTAAAATGCAAATTGAATTAAATTCAAAATTAAATGCTGCCTATTAACATATTTGTAGTAATTCAATTCGAAAATTGTAGTATTTGCATATGCTGAGCAGAGCGAACAGAACTTGCAGTCAAGGCAACTGGCCGTATCTATAGCTATATATCGATGTAAGTATGTATGCAATAATTTGAAAAGTGAAAATATTCATTCTAATTAGCTTACTATGTACAGTGATAGTTTTTATACCTTCCTGAGATGGGAAGTTATTTTCAAAGTAGGTTGAAGGATAAAGTTAAATACATTTGGAACCAACTGTTACTTGAAGCAGCGAAAAACAACTCCAAATCTGTATGATTCATTTAATTTAACTTATTCAATATAATGTAATAGTTTTATATGCTGTATTTATACAAGTCAGCAAGACATAATTAAGCCACACATTAGATGGGGTAGAATATAACATATTGTATACCAAACCAGCCCAAATGCTCTACTCCAGACTTAGAGGAAGCAGACTTCAAGTTGACTTGTAGTAAATTATTGACTATAATAATTATTTATTTATAATATATGTAACTATTAAATTTCAATGAATACCAATTCAATTTGCTCTTATAGAAATACGACGGAGCCCATCAAAATGCTAGACTGCGCGTAAATTACTTATACATATCATATATCATAATCATACCCTATAATCCCAACTATAATTTCTATTATACCCCAAAGACTTCTCGATTTTTGACACACTCTTTTCATACAACTGGAATACACTTTGTCCTATCCAATCGCCTGGCCATTAATATTTGCCCACCCTAAATTCTCGTGACTCTGTCGTGTTTCTCGTGCTACAAACTCTCACGCCCATGAAATGCAATGAAAATAAGGAAAAGCCCTAAAATTGATTGCCTGACAATGCATGTTAGTTATCAACATGTTGGCATGTGCATGCTGTGAAAATGATAAATACTGCATAAGAAGATAAATAAATAAATGTGCAAACTGTGAAAACACATGTAGCATGTACACGGACACACACATATAAACAGGCAGGCAGACAGAGACACAAACACATGCAAATAGATTTACATATATAAATATGTGCATTACATATGTACATTTTATTTGGCCATGCATTAAAATTGATTTCAACGCATGTTGAAAATCAAGCATGATAATCTGTTCGAGCGAAAAGCAATTAATTCATGAAAAAAAGCCCATTAAGCATACGCCATGTGCAACCAACAAGGAAAGCCCAATAAATGCTTGATTAAATCGTGCCAAATGAACCAAAGTGGAGAGTGCACTCTATAGATTTTCTCCGTATTCAAAGTGGGTCTTATTAGGGAGAGGGTGGTGGAGGGGAGAAGAACTTTGTGCCTGGCTTCTTGTGAAAACACCACTTGCTGAGCTGCTGCGGCTGCTGCTGCTGCTGCTGCTGCTGCTGCTGCTGCTGCTGCTGCTGCTGCTGCTGCTGCTGCTGCTGCTCTTGAGCAATTGCCCAATTGCTCAGTTGCTGGTTGATGCGGTTGCAATTAGTTGTTGTTGGCGCAGCCATTGTGGCAAGTTAATGAGCGCAATTGCTCGCAATTAAAGCACACACAAAAGACCAACAAGCACTGCCCACAACATGAAGGACCCAAAAAAGGCTTCCGGGCAGCCAAAAATGCATGCAATTAATAAAGGGTGAGTGTGCGAGGATGTGTGAAAGTGAATGTACAGGTGTGTGTGTGTGTGCGGGTGTGTGTGTGTGTGTGCGGGTGTGTGTGTGTGTGTGTGGGCGTATATGTGCTACTATTTACAACGTGTGGCAAGCACTCACCTGCCGTTGCAGTATGTAACTGAATTCCGTTGCCGTGTTGCGTCGACTGTCGTTCATTTTGCCGTCTTGCTGCGAGTGTTATGGCCAAAGTTTGAACAGCAAGTGCCTTGGTTGTTGGGCTTAGATTTTAGTGTTGCGCCCGAGTTCAGTTTAGTTAAGTTAACTCAAGTTTGCTTTTGGATTCAGGTGGGTGGTGTGCGGTGTTTGGTCTCGCTTCCGCTGTAGCTGCTTCACGGCCTTTGACTGCACTCAGCGACCATATGAAAATGCTACTGGAAAACTCATTTAACGAAAACACCAGTTTCCTGAGAAGTTAATGGACATGTTAAAAATGAAACTATTAAATGAAATGAAAGAAAAACTTTCATAATTTAAAAACTTTCTACCCAAATATATGTACGAATAACTTCCACAAGTTACTTTTGACAGCACTCAAAATATAACTTTTTGTGGTTTTTTGTTTCATAAAAGAATATTACTTTGAATTTTGTAGTTTTTGCAAATATTTACACTTATTTCATTATAAACAATAATATTTTAAGCAAGATTTTTGGTAAAATAAAATAAATAATATATATAAAATGAAACAAAAAAATTTTACACAAAAATATATATTTTTTTTTAAAATATGATATTAAAAAAATATATATTAATAATTTGTTTTTAGCTTTAAAAAATTCAAATTTTATTATGAATGTTTAAAAATCAAGCTATGAATATTTCAACAGTTTTTATTTTATTTTTTTATTTGTATTCCTTGAATATTGCTATAATAACTATTAAATAAATATTATGTGTATGGGGAAACAGGATTAATAAAAAAATAAATATTGTATACTAAAAATGAAAACCTTTATAAATGCATGTAAGCCTTTATAAGTTAAAATAAGCATGCATATGAATTTATATTAAAGATACTTACTTACAAAAACACATATTTTAACAAAATAAATATTTGTAATAAAAATAAAATTGGAATAAATATAGCGAAAAAATAAATATATATATATTCTTTTTTTTAATTAATTAATGTATTAATTATTTTTATATTTAAATTAAAATAATACGTTTAAATAAATAATAGAATAAATATAAATAGAAATTAAATTAGCGTAAATAAATAAAAACATGCATACATATAATACATGTAATAAAATATATTGAAATAAATAATTATCTAATACTATTATAAGTCCTTTGTATATGAGCAAATATACATATGTATAAATATAAAATTGCATAGATTTAATATTAAACATAAATATGCATAAATCACATTTCCTATAAGATTCACTTTCAATTGCCGCACAGTTTTCGCTCTCAACAGCTGTACACAACAACAACAACAACAATAACAACAACTACAGTTCGAACAACAACTTTCCATACAGCACACACAAATGTACGCAAAGAGTCAATTGAAATCGTTTTGCAATGAAATTCAATTAATTTGAAAACAGTTTTCCTTTATTGGTTGCATTTCACATTTACTTTTCGGTTACGTTTCGAGCGTGTTTTCGATTGGGCTGCGAGTTGGTTGCTTCGACGCTTTCGTTGAGACTGCTGCAATACAAATATATTGCAAAACTCTCAACAAGGATAACGTTGGCGTCGTCGTCGTCGTCGTCGTCGCCGTCGCCGTCACCGTCGTCGTCGTCCTGTCGTCTGCCGATGTTGTCCTCGTCTCGCGTTCTATTTGCCGTTGAAGTTTTGTGCTCAATGCTTCGCAGCTGTTTGCTGCGCATTATGTTGTTGTTGTTGCTGGCGTTTGACTTTGAAATCGCCAACAATAATGCACACACACATACACTCGCGCCCACACACAAGCACAGGCTGCGCACTCAGAATAACAACAAAAAAGCCGGAAACGAAAGCGAAAGCTGCCAGACTGTCAAATCAAGTTTCAGGCAAAAATAAATAACTTGACTATGGTTTAAATGCGAGTTATTATTATGAAGATTTTATAGCATTACTCGCCACAGTGAAAAAAACTCCGATTTCAAAAATGAATAATAACGGTCATGGCAGTGATTGCATAAAACAGCAACAGTCTGGCAACGCTGACAGTTCATTCATATCTGCCAAGCCACAACAGCTACGCTGGGCAAGAGAGAGGGACAGGAAGAAAGAGAGACAGAGAGAGAGGGAGAATGAGAGAGCGCGCTGAGACCAGCTTTGTGCACGTGTTTCCAAGTTGCTCAAAGCCTTCGATAGATGGCGCTGCAGCTAGTTAAGGCGGCAGTTAAAGCAGCCAGTGAAGCATTTAAATCAAATAAATTAATATGTAATTTAATTCACTCATCTCACTCTGTCGATTTGTATATTTAACAATGAAAACAAAAAGTCCCCCTGGACTACATTAATTTCTATCGCCAAGGTATAACACGATAGTCCTGCAGCGCCTCATCGTACGTATAGCTTATGTCGATCTCCTCCTGCAGCACTACTTTGGCATCCAGCAGTCGGCGCAGAATCATGGCCGTGCGCCCATCAAACTTGTTGCCATACAGTTGCAGGCGTTTCATGCGGCACGGCTTCTTCAGGGTCAACAGAATGAGATTGACTGCCGCAGCGCCGATTTCATTGTTATTCAGATACAAATACTGCAGCATGTTGCACGCACTGAAGTACATGGCCACCCACTCGCCGCCATGCGAGCCGATGCAGTTGCCACTGATGTCGAGCACCTCCAGCGAGTTGCCCTTGGCAGCGCCGCGCATCAGGAACATGGCGCCATCCGTTGATATCAGATTGTTGGCTACATTGAGCTTGCGCAGCGTACAGTATTGACTCTGCAGATAGTCGGCAATGGTCTCCATGTCCTGGGCAACGAACTCGCACAGCTGCAGCGTGAGCTCCGTCAGTTTGCGTTGCATCATCAGCGAGCCCACAATCGAGATCATTTTCTCTGTGTCCAGGGTCAGGCCGCCGCCCAGCAGTCGGCTCACGTGGAAGCAGCGCATACTCTCCGACTTGTACACTCCGTCCGCCACATCGGCAAAGTTGTATTGGGTCAAGCTGCAGCAGCAGACATTCAGCGTGTGCAGCGTCTTGCTGGCCAGCAGAAATTCTCGCAGCATGCGCGCATCGTCGCTGGTGAGTGGCGTGCCTGCATAACATTGTTGACTGTCCATAGAGTGCGACGCATTCATCAACTGACATTCAGCACTTACCCTCCAGGCTCAGTTCCCTGAGCTTCATGTTGGGCGCCTTGAGGCGCAGCATGACAAAGAACTCGTGGGGCAGACGCATCAGCTTTAGCTCAATCTGCCGCACGTACTGCAGCGACAGCACAAAGTCCTGCAACAGACGCGCATCCCAATTGCTAAGCCCCACGCTCCAAATGGAAACGGAATGCAGATGACGCTGCAGCAAAAAGTTCACAATGGTGCGAAAATCACGTATGCAGTGATAGCGACGATTCATGCGCTCCTCAAAGTCCAAGCGGCGAAACTGAAAGTTCTCGTACGGCCGCTTATCGTACTCGCGTTGCCAACAGTAAAGCAACAGTACAGTGAACAGGCGACCCTTTACTCGTGCAGCCGGCGGGCATGCAGGATCATAGGCGCAGACCATGTCGCACATTTTGCAAATTTTACATATATTTATATATGTATGTGTGTGTGATACATATAAACTAAAACTATTTGAGAATCAATGAAAAGTTGAGCAAAGCATAAGCTTGACTTACATCAGAATTTTAATATAGAATGCATATAATCTTTGAGTATGTATATGTATGTGCATTTCAGCCGAATTTCAACTTGAGTTTTCTATATAACTAATTCGGCAAACTCAATTGACTCAATTGACAAACAAACTCAAATTGACTTCCCAATTAAATTCGAACTGCCGCAAAGTATGCAATAAAAAATATGAAGCGCGCACGAAACACCCTGTGTCCCAGCTGCAGTCAGAACCTCAGTCATTAGCATAGTTAGCAGAACTTTTTTCACAAACACATTCACACAGACACACGCACACACATACATAGGCATTTAAGGCAAAAATTACCATAAACGATATTTCATTCATTTGCGAGACTCGACTAGCAAAGGCTATGCGAAGTGCCCAATGAATTAATTCGCACAGCCACGTGGACAAAGACACTGTAAATATACATATACACATACATATACATATGTATGTGACCATGGTTAAATGCGTGCCGGCACGCGCCGACTGCCCTATAAATAAGCTGCAAGCAGAAAGACACCAACCCCGAACCTATAGAGACGTAGTTTTATTTATAAGACACAAAAAAAGAGAGAAAGAAAACGGAGCAGAAGAGCCAAAAGCAAGAGTGAGAGAGAGAGAGAGAGAGGTGGAGGCAGAGGTAGGTGCTGACTGTGCATCGTTATGCACGTAGGCTCTTAGGGAATGTCTTGAGTTATTTTTGCACCATTTAAGGCCTGGGTTGCATCTTCATTTATTTGATTGCCTTTTACGCGACGAATGCTTAAAATTAACGTGCTGCGCTTGCGCAGCTTGGTAGCTGCCCCTCTGCACCGCGCTAGCCTCCCTCTAGCTCTGATTGAGTTGGCAGTAAGTAGGCCCAACAGGTGCCCCATTCAATAGACTAGAAATGGCCACAATGTGTGCAAGCAGCATGTGTGCAGCAAACTGTCCTTAGCTAATTTCGCTTCATCGGAAATCTGAATTATATTTCACTTTTACTACCATCGGGCCGAGGAGACACATAATTATGCATTAATTTATGGCCAAGACCAGACCAAACAGACTGACAGGAGACAGGAGACAACAGGCTGGAGACTGCCGACTGCTGCTGCTGCTGCTGCTGCTGCTGCTGTTGCTGTTCCATGTTGCATGCTGCATGCTGCATGCTGCTGCTTAGTCATCCGGCCAAGATGGCTGACACAGGCAATTAACAGCGGCGACAATTTGGTGGCCAAATTGAAATTTTAAACTCCGCACATGTGCGATGGCTATCTCTTGCCATGCCGTGGCTCGCTTAGAAATCAGATAATTAAAAGAGCGGACAAAAAGAGAGTGCAAAAAAAAAAAAATATACAAAAATATATACGTGTATAAATATATATGTATGTATTGTATGTTAAAAATATTGTAAAAGGCAGACAGCCAGACGCTCATAATTGCTGGCAGTCTCAGTTTACAGCTAGTGCAGCCAGACGACAGCAACAACAACAACGACAACAACAACAACTACTGTGAATTGCATGTGCATATCATTTAAATAACTTTTAGAAATGCAAAGTGTGAAACTGCAGGCAGGCAGAGAGCAAACTATATGCCCATGCCCGGACAGCAGCCAAGGCGTCTGGGCCGACTACCTTATTCACCTGCCACAGGCCACATGCAGCAGTCGCAGCAGCCACAGCAACAGCAGCAGGCAATGGTCCATATTTGGATGCAACTCTTAAGGACAGCAGCAACAGCAGCAGCAGCAGCATTGGCATCAACATGCACATCAACATCAGCGTATGTCTGCGACGGCCTCCAGACAAACGGCAGACATGTGAGATATATGCACTTGTCTACTCCCTTGGCTGAAAGACTCCGCACACACTCACACTCACACACTCACACTCTCACACTATCTGTGTGTGAGGCGCATTCATTGTCAATTTTGACAATCAACAAGATGCGACTACACGCCTGCTTAAATGCCAACATCAACATTACTTACCTCGGCCTCGACCGCTGCCCCATGCCACTCGCGGCCCGTTGAGCGTCTGCGACGGGCTGTCTGGCTTGGGGTCTCTGTTTCTTGGGTCTCCAGTCTCCAGTCTGCATCGTCACTCCGGCTGACTCTGGCTGTATCTCAGCCACTGTGCACCGGCACTGGCACCAGCTCTGCCTGATTGGTGCTGGGCAGAAGCCAAACGACGGCACGCGAAAGTCCTAAAAACCGAAAAAAATAAAAATAAAAATGCACGAAAATTAATAACAACCAGAAATGCAAAAACTAAAGAAAATAAGAAAAACATGCCAATTTGCCTTGACATTGATTTACGTATACTCTACAAATACGTTGGGGCATTACATAATCAAATATTTTTTTGAAACTTGTAAAAATGTTTAAAATGATACAATACAGTTTTTCATATAAATTATTTTTAACTAAAAAATTTTTGTATAATTTTTTTAATTAATTACAATATTTTTTTAGCTCTGATTTTTTTATTTTTTTAATTTAAAAAATGTTTATATATTTTTTTCTTAAATGAAATCCCTTTATATACTTTTTTAATTTTTAACATATCAATATTCCACATCAATGGAAAATACTCAAGCACTTGCCTCTATAGATCCTTATCTATAGTTTCTACCTCAAGCACTAAATCTACAAAAAATTCTGCAATCTCTCTGAATTCTTTTTAATTGCCTATTTATTCAAGCTTATCAATGAATTTTTGCTTTATAGATCCTTAGCTACAGTTAACTCTATCAATGCCGCTTTATTACTGAGTCATTTATATATATACACACGTGACACAATCAAATAAACAAAAATTAAGATTTGTGATGTAGCACAAAATATACCAAATTTACCATAGGTCTATAAATATATACACCATAATTTTACCTTTTGAGTTCTGTCTATATTTACTTTACAGGCCATTTCAGCTGATTGTCATAATCATAAGACCCATGCCGAGTGTATATAAGGTAAAAGAAGAAACAGAGGTAGCAGCTCCAACAGTAGCAGCAGAAGCAGCAGCAGCAGCAGCAGCAGCAGCTGAACGACAGCAACACGAAGAGGCGGCTGCAACGGTAGCCAGCCAGCGGGCATAACACAACAGCAATAACAAATTGGCTCCTGGTCTTTGCATTCCACATGCAATCTGAGACAACAATCACGACAACTGCATTCGGCTACTGCACCCGGCATCAGCAGCAACAGCAACAGTAGCAACAGCAACAACAACAACCGGCAACACCCAAGTGCTGCACGAGCAGCAACAACAGCAACCGGCTAACTAACCAACGTGTCTGCCACAGCTACTGCTGTTGCTGCTACTGCTGGTGCTGCTGTTGCTGGTGCAACTGTGGCCAGTCTGGTCTGGAGCTGTGCTGTCTGCGTTAAAATCATGTATGTATTTTTAATAGACCTCTGGCGTGCGGCTCTGCTGATGATGCTACCGACTCGTGTTATTTTCTGATCTCATGCAGCACCCCCTGCCATCCCCCACCTCCTACTGCTCGCCATCCTCCTGCTCCAGCGCTGCCCACTGCCTCACTTTACAATTATATCAATTATGTGTTATATTGATGCTTAAATTCAGTTCAGTGCAAGTACTTTGGCCGAAATACCAATTAGCCGGCCACTCAGACGTGGCTCAATTTTTTATTTGGTGTCGATCCACAATATCAATGATATTGTGTATTTCATCATATATATAAATACAAATACATATATCGCCTCGATAATCGGCTGCTCCGCTCCAGTTCAATCACCTAGCCAGCTGATAAGCAGGCTGATCCGGTGCGTGTTAGATACGCAACTGAACGCAACTCATATTCGATTATTTTATTACGTATTTGTTTTATTTTATTTATTTTTTTTTTTGTATTTTTAGAAAAGTCCCGCACGCGGTAATTGCTTCTGATAATTGTTGTCAAACACAATCTTTAACAATAAGTGGTTTATTGACCAAATGTTTCTTTTTTCTTGTTTTTGTTTTTGTTTTTTTTTTTTTTTTTTTGTTTTAGCTACTGGTCTTGAGAGTTTTGTTAGTTCGATTTAAGTTTAATTGCCAGCAAAGAAGACCAACTACCAAACACCTGCCAACTGGCATCTGCCACCACCTGCCAGCTGCTGCAAAACCACTTAAGAATAATTTTCCTTGGCTTCTGCACGACTTTCAGATGCACTACAAGCAGAACGATATTTATCGATTTACATATGTTAAGTTCATAATTTGATCCGACTCTAAGGTTATGGATTTGAATTGAGTTGCATAATGATTTGAGTAGGTTTAGATTTGAGTTGGTTTAAATGTAACTTAAAGTAAATACCATACAAAATCGATTAAGTTAACGATTAATCGATTAAATAAAAAAATATATATAGACACAAAAGGCTATGCAACTCACTTGCTGCTTAAGTTTCTGAAATACCTGAAAATTGAAGAGATCATGATTGATATCTTCATATAAGCTACTGAAGCTGCAGCATTCAGATTCACAATTGCCTAGCCATACGCATTCCCCACATATATTGATTAATTAGAGAGAAATAGATAGAGAGAGAGAGAGAGAGAGAGAGAGAGACTGTGTGAAGTGCTTCCCCTTTATAGAGAAAGCTGGACAGCGCAACTTTTAATGGGCAGCTGAACATTCCTGTCGATTGTACAAATTAAATCTATTTTAACTGGCATGAGACATGCCGCCTTGTCAAAATAAAATTTGTTTTCGATACAAAAATAGCAAAATTGCAAAAAATGGGAACTAAATATATAGATAGATGTCTATACAAATATTAAAAAATAGTTTTGGCTAGATGAGATCAAAGGGAACTACTACATTGGCCACTAGGCTAACTGCCAATTACAATGTTTTCACTTAGCTTTTGGAGCACTGGGGCGTGCCAGGGGCTGTGTGTGGTCTGTAGTCTAGCCTTGAAATTAATGAACTATCGAATGCTGTTGCTGTTGCTGCTGTTGCCTGTGGCCTGTGGCTTGTGGCTTTGGCTTTGACTCATTTCGCGTTCCAATTGTCGTCTACATAACACTTTTGACTGCCTCTGATTGACTCTTTATTTTGCGTGTTTTTTTTTCCTTCTGTTATTGTCCACGAAGTGGGGCAAATTCTATGCAAATGTGTGTACAAGTCAAATAAATAAACATTATTATATAAACGTCTCGACAAATGTCGCGCGCATGTTTCGTTTTTGTTGTTATTGCTGTTGTAGCTGTTGTAGTTGTTGTATTTATTCTAAATGCCTTTCTGGGGGTCTGTCGATTGAAAGAGCTCGTTTTTATCTCTTTCTTTTTTCGTTGTTGTTTTCTCCAGCTGAGATTATGATCTGTGGCTCTTTGAGCATTTGATGCGATTGCAACTTTGCATAACAGACGACGTCTGGCCGCGCCCACCACCCGCCCCCCAAATGCCATGTAGGTGTCTCATTTCAAGCCTCAACAATGTGTAGACATATAATGCATAACAGCCAGACAGTCAGAGAGACAGAGAGACAGACAGGCAGACAGACAGACACTTGGACAGCCAGTTAAATGGTGTGAAATCCAGACTTTAAAGTGCTCCAAATTATACAATCATTTTGAAATTCAATTTGGACCAGACGGCAAAAAAAAAAAAGAACAAACACACAAAAATTGTGTAGAAAAAAAAGAAGAGAAAACGATGATGACATGTGATAAGCGTGTCTTCTTCTCTCTGGCTGATGCTATATCCAGAAGAGAGCAGCCGAAAGTAAATAAATAAATAAATAAATAAATCAGCAACGTCCTTGAAGTCGCGCTTGTGATTTCCGTATATACGAAATGTACAAAAATATCGATATGAATGTGTTCTTTCGAGAAAGAAGCAGAAGTATTTGGAACAAACGTACAACGAGCCCTCAAGCTATCGGTGGATGGGCAAAAGAAGCAATAGATACGCTCAAAAGTCGACTAAATGTAATGATTGATGATGATTGATTGATTAATGATATGAACTTAAGTATAGGAATCTTCTAATGATGATGGTTATAGGCAAGATTTGTTAGAAAGAGAGAGTCCAACCTTCATTTCAAGCTCAGTTCGCAATGTGGAATAAGAGAACTATGATAAAATCCCAAATTTGACTTAAATTTATACTGCTCGAAGGTTGAAGAGAAATTGAGAATGAATTGCGGAAAGTTAAGTGATTTATAGCTAAAATATTATTTCATGCTGAGCTCTCAGTGCTAAAAAGGATAGCCATACTTCAACATCATCTGCTACTTTGCGGAAGGGAGGAGGTGGAAATGTATCAAATATCTAACATAGAGTGCAGCTTAAGCTTACCTTGGTTTCATATATTCGCTGTGTGGGTAAAGGAGATCGTAATTAATCAAACTTAGCAGATTTCAAACTGAAATTCCAAATTAAGCTCAGCTCTCTAGCAGATAGCAAACTTAAATTCCAATTAAAGCTCATCTAGCCGTGCGTGGAACGGCACAGTAATATAGCCTTGAGAGATTCCTAACCTAGATTATAGTTTTCAATTTCAGATGAAATTAGCTTTCTTTATTATGAAGTCATAGATCAGATGTTTAAATAATACTAAATACTAAATTACAGTTCTTGACGATAAGGATAAATTCATGTATTTCCTTTTGAAATTGTCATTCAATTAAAATCAATTGAATTTTAAGTTCATTTTGAATATTTAATTTACCAATTATAATAATATATCTAAATACAAATGACAAGTAAATTTCATGCTTCGTCTAACAACTCGTATATATCCTTGATAGTTCTCTAACTGTAAAACTCTACTTGGTCATCGTGGGTTAAACACGTGCCTGGCACCGACTGCCTAGCCATAATAATAATAATAGATTATTTCCGCTGATTTGCTCAGATATAGCAATAATGCCCAACAATGATCCAAGCAAAATGCTAACACGATCACACGCACTTTTTCCGCGCCCATTAATCAGTACGCACATTCGCTTGATAGCCAAAAATATGCGTCCGAATTTGCCTAATATGTACTTGGACGAGAGAAAAGCAATGTCAAAGTGAATGACAAGCAAATCAAGGAGACAAATCTTCAATAGATTACACTACAAAAGACATGCGTGTAGTATTAGTTGTAGTTGTAGTTGTTCTTGTATTTCACAAATGATAACAGAAAAATTATGATAACGAAATTAACTCAGTCAATTGAAATATCAAAACAATTTGATTAAAGCC